TAAAAGTTATCTTCTGCATTGTTTTTATTGCAAGAATGAGCTGCTCACCAAAGATTCACCACACCAAAACTTAATGGGAGAAAGAATAAACTGCCAAGACCATCTTGAAGGGGTGTGCAGATGGTTTGTTCATTTCAGTGTTGGCCTTACAATTGCCCACCATGAAGTCGATCTGTTGAGTCTGGGGGATGCTCTCCAATGCCTCACATGAATGTTCTGGCTTGGGAGGAATACAGGCTGTCCCTCCTTGCCCAGCCAGGTGTTCATGGAAACACACCAAGTAATAGAAACCGTGCCAGGATGCAGGTCAGCCAAAGGGAAGAGGGGGAAGTGTCAATTCTAGGATATTTGAGCACAGCAATGTGGGAAGACCAGGCCTGAGAGGGGTGCATGCAGAAAAGGGCAGATTTATGAAGCCCTCATCTCAAGGCTTCTTGCTTCTAAGAACCAGAATGCCTGGCGGAGCCAGGAGGAAGGAGGTGGCACTTGTCAAGGGGATGAGGACCAAAGAAAATCTGAGAGGTCACCTACACGATCCTGGAGTTTGGAAGGGATTATCAAGAACCTTGGGCTTGCCCAGTGTCTCGGTGGTAAAGAACCTGCCTGCCAGTGTAGGACACTTGGGTTCAATCCCTGAGTCAGGAAGATTCCCAGATGAGGAAACGGCAACCCACTCCAGTATTCTTGCCTGTGAAATCCTGTGGACAGAGGAGCCTGGCAGGCTATAGACCACGGGGTCGCAAAAGAGTCAGGCATGATTTAGCAATTAAACAACAACGTAGAGAACCTTGGTGCTCTGTGAACAAGAGGCAGCAGTGTGACCTAGGAATGTGATGGAATGTGGCATCAGAAGCTATACTGTACCCAGATCCACAGCCCTTCAGCACGTACATGGAACTGCCTCATTTTGTAGGCCAGGAAACTGATGCCCAAAGTAGACGGACTTGCCCAGAGCTGCACAGCCAGGAGCAGAGCTGGGCTTAAAAGCTACAGATCTTATGGTCACTCCTACTACCCTAGGCCTTTTCTGGCTTCCCTGGTGTCAGTGTTAAGTCCCTAAGACCACCAACTGCCATGTGCATCCACTCCTGACATCAGCTTTCCCAGCTTCATTCATCCACCCTCAGAATCCTACCAGAGTTCGAGTTTCCCATGGTGTGGTGCTGACCCACAGAGGAACAGACAAACACACAGCCTGAGGGGCTGCCGGGAGAGCTTTCAGAAGCCTTGTCTCTCGAGCACCTGGCCAGCTCGGGCCGGTCACCTGCTCCGTGTGGCCCAGACCCACAGTCACACAATAACTGTTCAAGTTCACATTTTCCCAATTGCTACAAAGGCCCAAGGACACGGTTTGCATTCCACTTAGTGAGGAGCTGCAGTGACCAGGACTTCCAAGGTGAAGCTAGTGGTAAAGAACCCATCTGCCAGTGCAGAAGACATGAGAGATGAGGGTTCAGTCCTTGGGCCAGGAAGATCCCCTGTAGGAGGGTATGGCAATCCAAGCCAGTATTCTTGCCTGGCAAATTCCATGGACAGAGAAGCCTGGCAGGCTATAGTCCATAGGGTCGCACAGAGTCAGACACAACTGAAGTGACTTAGCACGAACACATGAGTGACCAGGAGGAAAGATAAGGGGTCAATGGGTGATGGGGTCTTACTGGGGAGATGGTCCTCAAGGGGGGGGAGGGCAGCTGCCCTGTCAGAAGAGGGCTGGGGCCTCCAGGAGGAAGGCGAACAGCAGGCAGAACCACTGGGCAGTGAAGAGCCAGGCCAGAGTAGGAAACAGACTATGGCTGAGCCCCACAGAGATCTCTGGAAGGAGCAGACCAATGGGGACAGGAGATGAACTCAGCTGATTTAAACCACAGGCTCCAGGAGATACCCCAGGACGGTGGTGGTGCCTGAGTGGGGTAGCCAGAGAAGGATGGAGTGATGGAGGACCTGCCAGGCAAAAGCAAAATCGGGGTAAATTTTAACTAAATGACCACGTTTGAATGACTTTCGAAGCCCTGGGGAGAATCATTGTTCACCAGTGACAAAGGTACCCGTTTATTGTGCCTTATTTAACGCTCAGGTGAACTGTACACTGATTTAAGGTAGAAGAGCAATTTCTAGCATTCATCCTCTAAACAATCTGTTTCTAATTAACCAATCCCTAGCAGTCATTCTAATCCCTGCCTACACGCTAGAAGCTCTTGGGGTGCTTCTTATGAACACCCTGTGCCCCAGAAGCCCTCCAGACCAATTGAACCAGAACTTCTGGGTGTGGAATCTGGGAATTCAGGGTTTTCTCAAGCTGCCCCAGGTGAATGATTCTCCTGTTGTTGTTATTTAGTCACTCAGTCATGTCTGACTCTGCGATCCCATGGACTCTAGCCCACCAAGCTCCTCTGTCTATGGGGTCTCCCAGGCCAGACTAGTGGAGTGGGTTGCCATGCCCTCCTCCAGGGATTCTTCCTGACCCAGGGATCGAATCCACACCTCCTGCATTGACAAGCAGATATTTTTTTTTTACCACTGAGCCACCAGGGAAGCCCATGGATGGGCAGAGTTGAAAGCCGGTAAATGCTATTGAAGGTGACATTAGCAAAGATCTAAAATGAAGCAACAAAATATCAGTACAAATAGAAATTAGCAAATTGCCGCTGTCAACCAATTTGAATGGAAGTGGGTTTTTTGGTCACCTTGAGTAAATATTTGGGAGAGGACAAGGGTGCTCTCTCGTGGTCAAAAGGGAGAACTTCATGCTTTATTGTTTAGAGGGGAAGCTCTCACTACATAGGGCTGTGTTGAATAACCCTGGCTTTTCTTTCACTTGTAAAGAAATGACAGAAAACTGGGTGCCCATGGAATGACTCTTTTAAACTAGAAATTATACCCAACCTATAAACATAGTAGGACCCAATCATGTCAATATACTATTGACAAATTATATTAAATATAATTAAAATTATGGGCTTCCAAGGTGGTACAGTGGTAAAGAATCCACCTGCCAATGCAGGAGACACTGGAGATGTGGGTTTGATCCCTGGATTAGGAAGATCCCTTGGAGAAGGAAATGGCAACCCACTCTAGTATTCTTGTCTGGGAAATCCCATGGACAGAGGAGCCTAGCGGGGTATAGTCCGTGGGTTGCAAAATGTCAAACAGGACTGAGCACACACACATACACGCAAATTATAAATATTGTTTTTCTTCAGTAAATGTTTATTTAGTGAAACGAACTCAGCTAGGAATGAAGGTTCATCCTGTGGTGACCTGATCTGGGTGTGATTTTCCATGACCACGTGGTCTATCACCTTGTAGTCCAGAGGCAGGTAGGCTGGGATCCTAGACATATGTCACAATGCGTATCTTTAGATGGAAATGCTGGGACTTCCTCAGCAGTCCAGTGGGACTTCCTCAGTGGTCTATACTTGATGGGAACCAAAAGAAGTTAATAATTCAATTTAGTCTTTCTGGAAACTATCTCATAATGAACAATCGTTTCTGCCTGGTTTGCTTAAAGAAACTGCAGGAAGCAGCAGAAAGCCAGTGACATGAAGACAGGTTAAGAACACGGACCCCGACCCACTGGCTTGCTCCACTTGTCTGAGATTTTGACAGGTTACTCAGCCTCTCTCTTCCTCAGTTTCCCCCCCACCCCCTAAAATGGGAAGAACAGTGCCTACTTCATAGGGTCATAGGGCAATCTTTCTTCTGTGCTTTTTTTTTCCTCTTTTTTTAAATTGAGGTATAATTGATGTATTGGCTTAGCCAAAAAGTTCATTCAGGTTTTTCTGTAAGACATTATGGAAAAATCTGAATGAACATTTTGGCCAACCCAATACTACCACTCTGCCCTTCTCACACAATTCTTCTGAGAAACAAACAACATGATCAAGAGAAAAATAGTGTTATATTTTAAAATCTCTATTTATAGAACAAAAGAAAAATCAATATATAAACTCTCCAGTGAGATGCTTGTGACTTCCACTGTACTCGTAAGGGTTAAGTGTCAGTGCTTTAACGCACTCAGAAGACAGAATTTCTATAATTTTTGAAAAAAATTTTTATGCTGTTCTAAAAATCCATTCATTCAGCACATGTCTGCTAAGCACCTACTGTGCAGAGAACTGGAGCTTACATTTGAGCATCTCTGTGAATCGCCATGACATGGGAAAGAATTCAAAGCACCAGGTTCAGCTGCAGACATTTTCTTCACATGAAACTCACCGGAGAACATTAACTCCTGGTGGAGCTCAACAGCAAGAAGAATAAAGAAGCAAGAGAAAATGGAGAAGAAAGTTTATAAGAAGAAAAGATCGGATGAAGGAAAAAGTGTCTAATCAGAGGTGCAACAAAATGTGGCAAGTTCCATTAGCAATGCCACCTCCATACCCAGTCTCCACACTGGAGACTTGTAGTTCCATACCCTGGAAAACCTTACCCTTAGTAATTTTTATACTGGAAAGTTGGATTTCACATGAAGGAAATGACTAAGTCTAAAATACTCTAGGTTTAAAATGACTCACATACTCTTCAGATTAACAGAACCTAACACTGTATTATGATTTATATATTTGTACTCCAAAATCCTCAGAGGATTTAGCAGTCTGAGACCAAAGATTGCATTTTTCCAAATCACACAGAAGCTTTTAAATCCAAGTTTAGTCTAATTAAAGGATGAATGTGGTGAATTCCATGACTTTTCAGCACAATCGTGTTGTGCCAGCTCAAGAAGGATTAATGCAAGACTAACACAGAGGTTTCCAAGTTCAATAAAGGGAGGGTGGGTCTGTGGAAAGTTGGAAAACTCTTTTCCAGGCCCCTAAAGTTACTGATTTAGTTTTACTGTAAGCTGTTCATTAACTTGGGTGAGAAGTGTCAAGTTAGCAACAAAAGGTGCTAATTCCATTTGGATTATCAGCAGTGTGACTTTCCAGCAGAGTCAAGATTCTGCTGACACAACTGGGTGCCATTCTACCTCCGGTTCTATTTTGCCTCCCAATCTCTGGTAGCATTCCCCATTGGACCAGCACCCATCCGGAGGCACCCTGCTGGGCTAGGGGGCAAACACCCATTTGAGAAGTAGACAAAATGTGTCTTTGGGGTCCCTCCACCCTTGTTCTGTGTCCCCCTCTCTGGTGATGCCCATATATCCTTCTCTGGTTCCAAATTCTATTCTGTATTCTTTGATTTACATTGAACTTCCTTTTTAGTCTCTTCTCCAACCAAATCCAATAAGACTCCAAGGAAAAGAATACAGAACGGAGTCAATGCCCCATCCAAATCAAAATTTCTGGGAGACATTAAAAATATATAATATAGAAAATATGCTTTCTGATCCAACTAAATAACAGCTTCTTAGGAAACATTAGTGTTAGAAATACACACAGCAGGGACTTCCACGGTGGACCCGAGGTTAAGAATCTGTCTTGCAATGCAAGGGACACAGGTTAGATTCCTGGTCCCAATAGATTCTTTTTCCCTACGCTCCGAAGAAGTCCGCCCCTCTCCCAATCTTATCTTCCTCCTCCACCCTTCTTCCTCTTCTTATTACAATCATGGATCTGTCATGATCACCAAAATGCAATTATGGATACCATGTGATACAGAGAGTGGTTTCTCCCAAGGCATTGGGACTTTCAAATGTATCTATGCTTGGATTCTTAGTTCAAGAGATGAATCTTGATGGGTAATTTCAAACATTAGTCATGGATAGGCCCTACCCAACTAGAAAAAAATTCCAGGAATTATAGAACTATTCCACATCTTTGGTTTTTTTTTAAATACAAGTATACTTGATATATAATATACAGCAAGACTCAGATTATATATAATATATATATATATATATATACACACACATATATATACACACTCTTTTTCAGATTCTTTTTCATTGTAGGTTATTACAAGATAATTGAATATAGTTCCCTGAGCTATACAATGTGCATGCGTGTGTTAAGTTGCTTCAGTCGTGTCCAATTCTTTGTGACTCCTTGGACTGTAGCCCACCAGGCTCCTCTGTCCATGGGATTCTCCAGGCAAAATTACTAGAGAGGGTTGCCATGCCCTCCTCCAAGGGATCTTCCCAACCCGGGGATCAAACTGGCATCTTTACATCTCCTCCAATGGCAGGTGGGTTCTTTACCACTAACACCACCTGGGAAGGTATACAGTAGGTCCTTGTTATTTATTTTATATATAGTAGTATGCACACCTCTGTTTTATTTTTTTATTTTTTTTTCCATTTATTTTTGTTAGTTGGAGGCTAATTACTTTACATCATTACAGTAGTTTTTATCATACATTGAAATGAATTAGCCATGGATTTACATGTATTCCCCATCCCAGTCCCCCCTCCCACCTCCCTCTCCACCCGATCCCTCTGGGTCTTCCCAGTGCACCAGGCCCGAGCACTTGTCTCATGTACCCAACCTGGGCTGGTTATCTGTTTCACCCTAGATAATATACATGTTTCAATGCTGTTCTCTTGAAACATCCCACCCTCGCCTTCTCCCAGAGTCCACAAGTCTGTTCTATACATCTGAGTCTCTTTTTCTGTTTTGCATATAGGGTTATCGTTACCATCTTTCTAAAGTCCATATATATGTGTTAGTATACTGTAATGGTCTTTATCTTTCTAACACCTCTGTTTTAAAGACTTGTTGGATTCATTTTATAAGAAGTGAATTGTAAAAAATTTTTTTATCACTACTGAATGTTAAGCTGTGTAAGAAGACATGATTAAAGTTCCTTATACCCAGGGCAGAGCAGTTGGGCATCTGATAAAAGGGTCAGTTGCAAACAGCCTGCTACTATATACCAGGTGGGAGAGGTACACAGAATGAGTTCATCAAGCTGCTGTGAAATCCTCTTCTGGTTGGAAAATCAGCAGTTGGCAAAGGTGGGACCTCCGTGACCGTAAGCGTCTTCTCTGTTCCTGACCCAGAAAAGGAGTAATTAAGAAGCCTTGAGCCGGCCAAGAGTTGATTACGATACGGGGAAGGCTTTTCTCCCTAACGAGCCAAAATCTCACGAGAGGTGGTGGGGTGTGGAGAAAGAACACAGGTTTTTGGAGTCAGATCTAAATTCCTAATCCAATTTCCTTCACTGTGTGACCCTGAGAAAGTTACCAGTGAGCCTCAGTTTTCTTAATCTACCCAATGGTACCCTCAGGGCTACTGAGAGGATCAAGTGACCTGACCTGCATCTTGACATGCAGTAGACAATCAGTGCTCTGCTCCTGAAGCCATAGGGACACTGGCTGATCTCTTATATGCATCCTTGATCAGTTTCCTCCTGCCTTCCCTACGGTAGCTGTTTCAGACTGTCTCCAAATACATTTGCCCAAAGAAGCTCCCCGCCCTCCCGTGAGCATCATGTCGGCTCCTCTCTTGCCCCCTTGCCTCCAGTCTCCAAGGAGACATCTCCCCTCTGCTCCCTACGATCCACTCACATGCGCTCTTTGTCTGATCCTCCACCAGGTCGAATAACTGTTCTGTTACTGATCCCTCTTTATCTCATGTCTTCAAACCTCCCACTCCATACTACTGTCATCCTATAGCTTAAAGTTTCTCGTAAAACTTCACTTTAAAAATTGTTTATTGAACACCACGGAGGTGTGGAGTTGCCTGAAGCAAAGGGTAGAGTGTAGGCACAAATATCCAAGGATTTGATAGCAGTTCTGTGTTGTTTATTCCCAAATCTATCTCCTGCCACATCCCTCTCTGAGTTCCTGTCCAGTAAGTTGAACTTCCGGCTGGGCATCTCCTCCTAAAAGCTTCACAGATGACTCAACCACGGCAGCTACAAACCAGAAACCATCAGCATCCATATTCCACTAGGGTTTCCTCTTTGGTGAAAGTTACAAAGAGATGGGAATACCAGACCATCTTACCTGCCTCCTGAGAAGCCTGTTTTCAGGTCAAGAAGCAACAGTTAGAACAGGACATGGAATAACAGACTGCTTCCAAATTGGGAAAGGACTACATCAAGGCTATATACTGTCACCCTGCTTATTTAATTTACATGCAGAGTACATCATGCAAAACGCTGGGCTGGATGAAGCACAAGCTGGCATCAAGACTGCAGGAAGAAATATCAATAACCTCAGAAATGCAGATGACACCACCCTTATGGCAGAAAGTGAAGAGGAACTAAAGAGCTTCTTGATGAAAGTGAAACAGGACAGTGAAAAAACTGGTTTAAAACTCAACATTCAAAAAACAAAGATCATAGCATCCGGTCCCATCACTTCATGACAAGTAGATGGGGAAACAAAACAGTGTCAGGCTTTACTTTCTTGGGCTCCAAAATCACTGCAGATGGTGACTGCAGCTGTGAAATTAAACGATGCTTGCTCCCTGGAAGAGAAGCTATGACCAGCCTAGACAGCATACTGGAAAGCACAGACATTACTTTGCCAACAAAGGTCTGTTTAGTCAAAGCTATGGTTTTTCTAGTAATCATGTATGGATGTGAGAGTTGAGCTATAAAGAAAGACGAGCACCGAAGAATTGACACTTTTGAACTGTGGTGTTGGAGAAGACTCTTGAGAGTCCCTTGGACTGCAAGGAGTTCAAACCAGTCAATCCTAAAGGAAATCAGTCCTGAGTATTCATTGGAAGGACTGATGCTGAAGTTGAAGCTCCAATACTTTGGCCACATGATGCGAAGAACTGACTCATTAGAAGAGACCCTGATGCTGGAAAATGCTGAAGGCCGGAGGAGAAAGGGTTGACAGAGGATGAAATGGTTGAATGGCATCACCGACTCGATGGACATGAGTTTGAGCAAGCTCTGGGTGTTGGTGATGGACAGGGAGGCCTGGTGTGCTGCAGTCCGTGGGGTCAAAAAGAGTCAGACACAACTGAGCAACTGAACTGAACTGAACCAAGCACCCATGATCTCATCCCTCTTCTGCATTCCCACCCATCAGAGCCATCCATGTCTCACCACCTCTAGAACAGCTCTTCAGCATCCTTACTTCCAGGTGTGCGTGCATTTGGGGCTCTCAAGTTGAAATAAAATAGATGGAGCAGAAGAGCCCAGGAACAGGGCAAGACTAATCAAGACAGCCTCAAGCCACAGGCTGAAAGACACAAAATTGTGTTTTTGAGTTTAATCTGGACTGAAATTTATCCTGGGGAGGCAAATTCTTCAAGAATGGGAGAAAATCATGATTTAAATACTTACAACCTGGAGGGCATTTAAACACACCTAGCTGATCAAGTTCTTCGAAGAGTTGGCCCAGCTTATAAATCTTATTGGATTTAAATTCTCTGAGATGTAAGGATGACTATCTTACTAACTGGTTAGTTAGTAAAATGTTAGCTAACCTGCCTCACTGTGTCTCAGTTCCATGCCCACGGGCAACTTCACTAACAGACTTAGTGTGGAGCTCAGACATGTCATCTACTCGGAGGGAACTCCCCCAAGTTCTACACAAAGCCCCAGAAGAAAATGGCATCTTCAAGGTTAGCATTTTATTTATTTATTTTTTAAATTTCTATTCTTTTTTTTTTTCATTTATTTATATTAGTTGGAGGCTAATTACTTTACAATATTGTAGTGGTTTTTGCCATACATTGATATGAATCAGCCATGGATTTACCAAGGTTAGCATTTTAAATTCACCCCATGAAATTATGGCAGCATCACAAATAGGCGGCCTGGAGTCAACACTGGCTTCATAGTCAGTGGATGATGTGGGCAGACTTCCATACAAATTTTCTGAAAGTTCATCATAAGGAAATAACCCAGTAAGAGAAAAGACTCGTGTGCCCATGCCATTTTATTTTCTAATATCAAAAACCTAGAAGTACTTTATTCAACAGCACTCCCAATGCAGGGGACGTGGGTTCAATCCCTGGTCAGGGAGCTAGATCCCACAAGTCACAACTAATAGTTTCCATGTTGCATCTAAAGATCCCTCATGCTTTAATGAAGATTGAAAATCTCTTGTACCACAATGAAAACCCAGCTCAGCCAAACAAAAACAAACAAGAGACACAAAGTCCTCCTGCATAGCACAGAGAATTATATTCAGTGTCTTATAATAAACCATATGGAAAAGAATATGAAGAA